GCCCCGAGCGCTTTACGAGGAGACCGACACGGATCTTTCGAATCACTATCCTCAGTCTCCCCCTGCAATGAGTATACAAAGAAAAGGCGAGAACCAGATTTAAGGTTAGCCCTTTTAAATCCCATGTATGTCATCATCTGTTCTGCTCAAAATGGATTTTCAGTAAATTCTATTACCTATTTATCACCCTCTTTCTATTCTCCGCACTGCTCTTTAAAGGAGCCGCTGCATTCATCCATCACGTCTGTTATTGATTAAATGTCAGCTGACCCGCCGGAGTATCTTCTTTAGTTATAATTAGACATTATGGCTGTATACTGAAAGCTTATTCTCCCATTGGCAGCTGAAGCCAGGAATAGTGATGTCACTTCCAGAAGCACCATTCCTGTACCCGACATCAGCTCAGCGCCATCGATTTTTATAGAATGTTCTATTAAATGTTCTCAGAACGTTCTATTTCAAAAGAATGTTCTGTTTTAATTTGTTCAAAAAAACTTGCGGTATTTTATTTGAGTTAATGAATTTAAATTCCACTCAGTTCAAGAGTTGGAGATTTATTTGAATTGGAAGTTGAATTGGAATGGCAGGAAGAGGAATGAACTGAATTACAATTCTAAGAAATTCAACACCCACACAACAGCAGTGTTTCATTAGTCCAAAGCAGGGTTTACAACAATAATTATATGTGACCCTGGACCACAAAATCAGTCATAAAGGTCAATTTTTCTATCTGAATAAATAAGCTTTCCATTGATGTATGGTTTATGATAGGGCAATATTTGGCCGAGATACAACTATTTGAAAATCTGGAATCTGAGGGTGCAAAAAAATCTAAATATTGAGAAAATCGCCTTTAAAGTTGCCCAAATTAAGTTCTTAGCAATGCATATCACTAATCAAAAATTAAGTTTTGATATATTTACGGTAGGAAAATTACTAAAAATCTTCATGGAACATGATCTTTACTCCAGCGACTTAAGACTGCTTTTGTGCTCCAGGGTCACATATAAAAAACATGACTAATTATGCCTATTTATTTGCTGATATATACACTAGCCGTTCAAAATTTGGGGTCTATAAAATGTTTAGATGTTTTTGAAAGAAGTATCTCACGCTCATCATCATATATATTGATCAAAATGATTTGATAAAAACAGAAATATTGTGAAATAGTTTTACAATTTAAAATAACAGCTTTCTATTTGAATATATTTTAAAAAGTAATTATTCCTATGATGCAAAGCTGAATTTTCAGCATCATTACTCCAGTCTTCAGTGTCACACGATCCTTCAGAAATCATTCTAATATGCTGATTTGCTGCTGAAGAAACATTTTTGATTCTTATTACTGCTGAAAACAGTTTTGCTGCTTTATATTTTTGTGGAAACTTTTTGATGAATATGAAGGTCAAAAGAACAGCATTTATTTGATATATATAAAACTTTTGTAACATTATAAATGTCTTTACTGTCACTTTTGATCATTTTAATGCATCTTTGCCGTTAGTCGTTTCAGAAAAATATTTCTGACCCCAAACTTTTGAACGGTAAGTGTAGAGTACATTTTCACACCTGATTAGACATGTTTATCTAAAATAAGTTAAATACTGTCAACACAATTAGTTGTGTAATTAAGAGAAAACATCTGGTAGAGCTTCTTTCTCTCAAGTGTTAATAACAATAAATGAAGCATACGTTTTTCATTAAAATGACAAAAAAAGAATGTTCTAAACCAGGGGTGTCAAACTCATTTAAGGTTGAGGGCCGGATCGGAGAAAATGCCCCCTTGTGCGGGCCGAATTACCTTTTGTTAAACCCTAGTTTGCTCACAATTACATTAAGGAATAGAAGCATAAATAGATGGAATATGGGCCGTGTTACATCAGAGGGGAAAATGATGCCATTCTTTCCTTTTTCCCCCCAAATGTTTAAATCCACAGGACGTCAGACCTCCACAGAGTGGTTCATCAAAGATGCGTTTACGAAGCATTAATAGTTTTGAATGCATTCATAAGATATTTAACTCTTTACAAATGTAATGTTTTTCTCACAGGAGACTGATGGCAATGCTTTGCATTTGAGGACTGATATAAACGGGACTGAAATGAGAATCTTAAGTTCTGCTGTCACACTGAGAGAAAACAAAACATATTATGCGTCATATTTTCACATATTTATTGTTTCTGACTCGATTATTAATTGCCGTTTAAAAATGCATGTTTGTATTTATATACAAAGTACGATTATAGAACGTAGTCCAACAACAGCGTTGGAAAGATACACAATGCTGATACGGTCTTTCAACCGTGAAACATTTTTGGTTACAGATGTTCTGCTTTGCCAGAGAAATCATTATCATAATGTGATGAATTGCTTATGCTCCTCAGCTGTAAGTCGCCCTTGGATAAAAGCATCTGCTAAATGTGTGAATGTATATGTACATTATAGTCTATATGAAACTCTCTTTACTACAGCATAGTACATAAACATGAATAATCTTGATAAATGAAAACATTTGGTCCATATATTATTATTACTTTGAAATGCATTAGTCATATTTAATTACTTATTCAGTAAGTGATAAAAAAAAGTCACTAGAGTTATTAATCACTAGAGTTGTCATTAAAAATAAAAAATATTACAGTATCAGGCATTTCCTTAAAGGGACCATGGATGTGGCCACCATTAACCTTCATGGAAAAGAACAGCTTGGACATTCAGCTAAACTTTTTTGTAAATCAATATGAGGGTGAGTAAATAACTAACAAAAACATAGTGCTTCCACAAAAATGACTCGAAAGGCTGAAGCCAATTAAAATGAATGTGAGCAAAATCATATATATACAACAGTTTTCCAACCGCTTAATTGGCTGGTACAGCTGTTGAGTTTAAGACTCAAAAAGGAAGCAGACTACATTTGCAAGTGATTAAAGAAATCCTTCTTTAACCATCCTTCAAACTGATGCCATTTAAAACCACACATACAATATCTCTGCTGTATTAGCCTTCTAGAAGTCACTAGAAAATCATTTAGGTTTTATCACAAGAAAATCATTTTGTAAAATATTTGCACTACAAACCAGGATTATGGCGGCAATCCTATGCCATTAATAACCGAGCGCACCACTGATGCTGGCGCGCGCGGTAAATCACTTCCGCGAGAGGAAAACAGATTTACACGCGAGGAAACGGGAGCCCGCGAGCTCATTTCAAACCCTCGCGCTATATATATATATAAAACAGTTTCTTGCAATTGGGTCCCAGCCTTATTGGCTAATAAAGCAAGGTATAATAAAAAAAAAATAAAAATCAACATTGTCAAGAGTATATATCTAAAATATTTGGACTGCACACATTTTATAATTTGAGTTATTATTTTTTTAAATATAAATACTGTGTAGAATAAGCATTATTTCAGCAAATTTGTGTACTCTACAAAATGGTGCAGAAACAATTATTACTCAAAAATTGCTAGTGAATTGCACAAATAATAAAAAAT